AAAAACTGGTTCATAGAATCCCTGGAAATTCAAAATAGGCCTTCAGAAATTGGTATAAGAAGCCTCCAGCACACACCTGAATATGAGCATGTTGTGCCAATTCAGCTGTTAGATAGCTGGGTTCTCAAATGCAGTCGCAGTTTATAGAGCATCATAGTCAGTCTCAGTACCATTTCTCCTTTCCAAGGTGGGGAATGTGTTTTTCTCTAAGCGTATTCTCTTCAGTAACATATATTTACCTTTCAGATTGTCATTTTAAATGAAAATTTACATCAAAAGGAAAGCTGACAGGGAAACTCTGGTAGGCACAGTCTCACTTTTAAAGTTATTATAAGAAAAAATGGCATACAACATCTCTGAAATAGAAATTATTCCTGCACTGAACACAAGACGAAAAAGATTGTAATTATTTAAAAGCAATCATAGTTGATACTCTTCTGTAAATGAATATAGTTTCAAATAATTCCATGTTTTATTAAGCATTATTATAAAATTTGAACCGACTGTATTTTGCTTTTGCCATCAGAATAAACAAGATTCACAAGGGTATAATCCGGCTAGAAGACTCAGCAATCACTTTCCTTTTATACTTCTACTTCACGAGTAATCTGTTATGCTTAATAGCTGTTTTATACCAAAAATAATATTAAAATTCAGATTTAAAATCATGTGAAACCTATCATTAAAAATGCTTCTGTTAGTAATTAGGAGTTGAAGGTACTGCAACTGAGGGTCATATTTTCAGTGGAATTCACTAGTATCTATTTACAAACCCAATACATTTTATTCGTGTTTGCTTTTACAAGTTAATTGCACATTTTAGGTTGAGATTATATGTGGGCACACACTTACATAATTATGAAAGCCGTCTCACGATTCTGCCTTAATCTTTAAACTGTTGTTTACCTTTTTAGTAATCCTTACATGTAAAAAAGGCAATCTGTAAATTGATGATGAAACAAGAGGGTGCATCATTAAATTATGAAGTCTGTGTTAGAAGAGGACTTTGTGTCAAGGAATTGAATGGTCAATCTGGCATCAAGAAAATGACTAGTATTGATTCTCAGCTTCAGTTTTCAATAAAAAATTATCAGGGGAACGTTAAAATGTAACCTGCCTATCTATCATTCCAGACTAATCAAATAAGAATCTCTAGGAGTGGGAACCAAGAATCCGGGTTTTTTGTTTTGTTTTGTT